GATGGTGGCAGAGAACATTTTTCCTCATGTAATTAAGTATGTACCTCATCCTTGGACCCTTCCCATCACCAGGAGTTGAAGAAATAGCACTGCTAATTAGAAATGGATGTAGCCGCTTCTCGGCCTTCTGGCTAAGATCAAGTGTAGAAATGGATGTATTATGATTTTGCATGATAGTAGAAACTTTCCCAACTCGAGTTTGTTGGAAGACAGCATAAGAAATCTGATTTTCAGGTTTGAACTTTGTTGTCTTCAGGCATAAGAGTTCAGTACCTGTTTGCCAGATTGAATTGAATCTTGTCCCGTGTACCAGCCAAGGTGAACCTTTCAGAGATACAAAGACCCCACTGTGGCAGGCATGTCATAGGTTTGCCACCACTGCCACATATGTTTTGTATTTTTATTTTCTTCTGGAGCATGTATTTAACTTACTAATTGTGAAGAAAGCACTTAAGAAAAATCTCCAGTTGAACAGGTTTTAAATGTCTAAAATGACATTTTTGGTACCAGGGATAGAACTCGGGACCTTGCGCTTGCAAGGCAGGAGGCGGCACCACTGAGCTAAATCACCGGCATAAAATGACAGTTTTTTTGACAGCAAATCAACTATGAAAGTATAGGGCTTTGTTTAGGCAGTAATCAAAATACATGAGAAGGTGATGATATGTTTCACATTAAAGTTGAATTATTAATCTTCTAGGTTGTTTGAGATGTAGATGTACAATTATAATCTACTTGATTATACTTAGTTTTCAGCATGGTGATCATTAGTTCCTGTCACCCATGAATTTTGTGCAGCCATTGGAATTGGGGACGATTGACTTACTCGGACACAGTGCATTTGAAATACGCCAAGATTAAGTAGATGCGAGTGTTTATGTGGAGTGCTTTGCCAGGTGCACTAGACCCAGAAAACCACATTCTGTCCCAGTTAATTTGCTTTGTGGCATGAAGCCGTGTGATGGAATGTTAATGTCAGCACCCTCTTTATTTACGCACCAAGGCGAGAGGAGTAGTAATTAACACTTTGACACTCCCCCATTGATGTGTAATTGACTGTTTCAAAGGAGCACTGGTTCATAAGCTATTGCATGCATTAAAATTGCGTTTTCTATATCGCAGCATTTTAAGACAGGGGTCAGTGACAATGCAGAAATTGCTCAATGATGCACTTTTTTTATTACTGCATTAAGGTTTTGACATATTAGTAATGAATAAATGTTTCCATAAAATTAGATTTTTTATAACTTTAGAATTGAAATACGGGGCGGCACTCTGTGGGTCCTTGAAGGTAGTGTTCTAGTTGGATGAAACAAAGCCCTGCGCCTCAGCTCCAACTTCACTGGGTCTTTCTCAAGAAGGCTGGGAGCTTGCATCTTTGTTTTAAAGGAATGAATTTAGGAAACAGTTTTAAACTCCTCAGACACAAGTTTCCACGTGTAGAATAGATAATGATTTTATAAAATTTCTCCTAGAAATAGTCTTCACTCTTATGTTTTTTCATTTATGGTAAGATTGTAACTTAGCATAAATTTTGCACAGGGAGTAGCAATAAAATATATTTAAAGAATATTTTTAATCATACCTTAGAAATTATAGGGGTTCTATCATTTTACATATTAAAAGAAAACCACGGATGCCCATAGTACTAGGAATGTTAAGGAATGTTTGAGAATCTTTAACTTGTTCTGGTAGGAAAAATTTGTAACATTGCTAATGTATTTTGCCAACTAGAAATCGTTTCCTAATTTGCTTTTGTTTTGTGGACATGTATGCAAATTAAATATCTTCTGTCAGAAGTTGTTAGCGTAAGATGCTTTGGGGAAGGTACTTTTACTGAATGTGTATATTTTGGGTTATCACTATTTTTCGACATTTACTGCAGCTAAGAATCAGGTTACAGATGTCTGGACTCCACAGGTGGCACCCGTTGTCGAAATGTTTTTATTAATACTGATGACTTCGGCCAACAGCGTCATTGCCCTGTGTCGGCTGAATCGCCCTGACATGTCCACGTGTAGTCTGCTGTTAGCCAGTTGCTATCTTATTTCAGAAAGTTAATCAGCATCTGATTTGCATTTGCTAATTAGGGTTAATGTGCACTAATTGATTTTTTGTTGCTTGTAGTTAGCAGTACTTCCTTGTGTACCTCATTCATTTGAGTTATGATGATCGTGTTCTGTTGAATCTGTGCCAGACAGGAAGCCAGCATCGTGACCACAGCTAATTAACAGATGATCACACCCTGTGCCGAGGGGCTTCCCTAGTCTCCCGCTGGATGTGAATGTTAAAAATTGCGAATTTATTTACGGAGTGCTTAGGTAACTTTTTCAGCAATACAAACTTGAGGCTGTGAATTATTTTAAAAGGCACATAATTGATCATTTGCTGATTTATGATTTGAAAGCTCAGAGTTAAGAATATATAAGTAAGTCTAAGTAAGTTTTAGAAATGTCTTTATAAAAATAGATTGCCATCCAAACAAGTACCTGTGATACTGTTTTAATGCTGCCTCTGCTTAGGACCAGGCAGTGTGGTTTTGGTTGTTTTTGTACCAGGGATCAAACTCAGGACCTTGTACTTGTGAGGCAGGTGGGGGAACCACTGAGCTAAATCCCTGGCCCCCCTTGGTTGTGTTTAATTTTAAAGTAACAAAGTCAGGACTTCCGTGCCTTAAGTTTTCTACTAGGCCTAACAGTTGTGGTCTGAATATTTGTAACATCGTATTTCATGAGAAATTACAATGTAGAATTTGAATTATTTGTATAATCTTCTACCTTTGTGTTATAAGACAAGTATCACTATTAATTGTACTTTTTATCTAGTAATAAGCATATTGGCCTGTAAATGTTGTGATAATTTCTTGGCAGTTTTGATTTGTAAGTATTGAATCCAAAGTGACCGGAAGGAAGGGAAATGGAAATGTTTTCACAACTTAAAATATTTACGAAAATGATATTACAACCCAACTTCATGTTTACTAGTGATAGTGACAACAACCAGTGCTAAAGAGGCAAGGGATCCTGTGCTAGTGATAATAAGCTTGGGTGATTCACCTCGGAAATGTGCTTTGTGGGTTTTATCTCCTGAAATGTACAAATGCAAAAATGTAAAACACTTTCAGAACCTAAAAATGTCTTTCGTAGCCCATTCTTGGGCCTTTTGTGGCACTGTTGTAATGAAATGCAGGCCTCTGAGGTGGGTAGAGGACAGATATGTTATATGCTTGTATGAAAACGTCACTGTGAAGCCAGTTGCGTACAATTAGAATACACTAATAATTATAATAAAAATGTAGGTCCACAAAAGTCATTCATTAGTTTATTATAGGCTCAGTTTACAATTAGCAAACATAATTTTCCTCAAATTATCTCTGTGAGTGCTCAAACCCAGTGATTCCCTGGCTTAACATGAGCTGTATTTGTGTGGCCCTTGAGTTAGTTCAGACCCTCACCAGCCTTCACTCTGTTCTTAGGCCTGTTACACGAGCAGAATATGGCGAAAATGAGACTGCTCACTTTTATGGGGATGGCAGTGGAGAACAAAGAGATTTCCTTTGATACAATGCAGCAGGAACTTCAGATTGGAGCTGATGATGTAGAAGCTTTTGTTATTGATGGTAAGGCAACCGGAATGTTTTTGTTGAGTTCTAGGATTTCTGCTATGGGGAATTTTTATCTTGAACCTTATGCTAACATAGATTGTATGTAGTAGAGTGACAGACACATTTGTAGTGTGAAGATTCAGTGGTGTGTGAATTATGTGGTTTTTGGTATTCTCTCTGCTAAGATCACATGGAACAGACGGAATAGTGTAGTAAATAACTGGAATGCAATTCATTTGTGCTTGTGAGGAGTAAATGAGTTAATGCAGTTAAGCACCGTGCCTGGCACCTACCAGATGATCTGCGAGTTAGCTCAGAAACAGGAATTTCTTCCCCAGAAATAGCAGATAAAGTGATTTATTTGTTAATCAGGACATTTTCCCAAACTTTCAAATCTGATCAGCCTCTGCAGTGACAATTACAAATTAGTAGAATGTATGGAAGTATTGACAGTTTCTTTCTGATGCTCCGAGTGTCTGGGAGCCCTACAGAAAAGCAAAGGCCTTGACAGGAGATGAGCGCCAACCCCCTGCTATGTGACTGTAGGGGAGCAAACGCTGTGTGCGGTATTGACTGGTGTGGGTCGGCTCAGCAGCCATAGCACAAATGCATGCCCTTCCTCTTGGCTGTGGCAGCTTGTCCTCCTTCCAGATTGGATTCAGAGAGCTGGTTTGTAAAACATGTTGGAAGGAATATAAAGTTTATTGTGGTCATGTGGCCACAGCTCAGCTGTGTTTCTTGTAAATTTCCTATATAACATATCGTGTGAAAAATCTTTTTCAGCGGTAAGAACTAAAATGGTCTACTGCAAAATTGATCAGACCCAGAGAAAAGTAGTTGTCAGGTAAGACATTAATACTTTGCAGCATTTTGTAGTACAATTTAGTTTGATGTGATTATTTCACTTAAATATTTCGAGAACCGAGGTTGGTGTTCTTTCGAGTTGACTGTAGTTAAATAGTTGCTATTTATCATAATTTTATTAAAGTTCAGACTGAATGTGATTAGCTTATTTAATGAAAGAGTCCTATTTTCCAGCACATTTCATTTAATGGCGGAGCACTGGCTAGAATACTAATGACTTTTTGTGTCCACTTTATAGAGTTGGTTAGGAGGATAGAAGGTTTGATTGAAATGGTAAAGATGTTTTTTAAACTAGCATTAATTCTTAAATTCTGTTATGTTTTTTATATGTATTTAACTTTGCTCTTAACTAGATTCAAGTGTGTAGTACCCTAAAAAGAATACCAGGAGATCAAAGGTTGACTAATACTTGTTTTTAATTTTTCAATTTTTAGTCATAGCACACACCGGACATTTGGAAAACAGCAGTGGCAGCAACTGTATGACACGCTTAATGCCTGGAAACAAAACCTGAACAAAGTGAAAAACAGCCTTTTGAGTCTTTCTGATACCTGAATTTTCACACATATAATTTTGTTCTTTTTGGAAAAAAAAAGTCTAAATCATAGTAAAATGTTAAAAACTAAAAACTGGTCTGGGCATTCATTGTCTCAAAGTTAAAGTAGAATCACAAGCTGCAGAGGAAAATAATAGAGTAAAGGGTCACTGCGTCTGTCCTGAACAGTGCCCAAGTTCTGTTCGTCACAGGTGCTGAGGGAGCAGATACTCTGAAGGGAGTATATGCACTGAGAGTTGAAGGGGAACTGCAGCTGACAGCAAGCCCCAAATCCGAGACAGCTGTCTCACCTGACCTTGCAGGTCCGGAATACCGGAGCCAACAGGAGAGGCTGGAAAGTGAAGAGGGCTGTGAGATGCAGCAGCCCCTCCTTCTAGTGAGAATGACGTCAGCGCCAGTTACATCATTCGCCACCGGGAGCATTTGTCAGTGTCAGTTCATCCGTTGTTTTTCCCAGCATCTCTTCCGCTTTTCTTACTTTAGGCTGGTTGTCATTTTCTAAGCTTAGGTACTTTTCAATTTCAGTGACCTGGTTTATCACAAGGCTCTGCCAGTCTTCACCAGGAGTGGCAGGCAGATCCGGAGGCTCTTGAGTCTCGATGGACTGAAAATGACTTTGTAGCACAGTGGGAACCCGAGGCTCTGCTTTCACCTAGGGAAGATCCGATCTGTTTTACTGTTGAGATAAGTGTACAGATGACTTTAAAGACAGTCTGCTCAGCCTCTGCCATGACAACATATGATAAAGCCAGTGTCTTCCTGGCTGATTTATAACAATTACTTGAGTAATTCTGGCACCAGAAAACTATACAATGTGAATTTGTAGGCTTATATATTAGCTCTTGATAACCTAACGTATTCTAGGGGACCACAGATGTCTTCTACAGGGTACTAAGCTTGCAGATAAAAATCAGTATTGTTTTCTACACCCTTCCCTTCCCAAACATGTCTGTTTTGTATCTTCTGTCAAAGCAAGGAGAAAACTAAAAAATGAAACGGAAGTGAACTAAAAACTGCTTTTTACTTCACGTTTCCTCTCCTGCCTCAGAGCACCAGTGTTGAACAAACAGGGAGAGCAATGAAGTGTTTGGAAGTTGGCATATTTCCAAGGTACACTATACTGAGTCCTGTTTTTAAAAAATACAATCTTTTTTCAAAATGTAACTTTTTCATTTTGTTTTTTTCTGATTTTAAAAACTTACTGGAAATTTAGAAAATAGAGAAAAGTATATAAAGAAACTAAAAATCTTTAGTAATCCAACTAGCCAGACAAGCCTGTCACTGCTGGGTATTGTTTGCTGCTAGTCTATTTTTAGCATATTGCATTGTTCTCAAGTATTTTATATCTTGCCTTTCCTCTGTGAGCAGTTTCCTAGGTCTTCAAATTTTTCAACAGTTGTGAGTAAATATCCCTTTTATGGATGTGTGATATTTGACCATCTCCTATTGAATGTTTAAGTTATTTCCAGTTTATCTTATCAGAAGTAAATTTAAGATGATTTCATGGAAAAAAATCTTTGATGGTCTTTAGAGTCACAGGTAAAATCTTATTTGAGAAGGAATATTAAATCTTAACACCTACTGTTTTTATTTTTTGGTTGTAACGGAAATGTTTGTTTTAGAAATATTGAATGTCTTACAGATTGCATTAAAGTCACCCAGGGCCATTTATTTGTTCATAAATTTTTGTTTGATGCTCCTATTTTGCCACCAAACCCAGTGGCATCCAAGCACAAATGAGCAATTTCCAAAATCCTGATCCTTCTGTTATCTTTTTTTTTTTTTTTTTGGTACTGGGGATCGAACTCTGGTGAGGCAGTTGGTGGAAGCACTGAGCTAAATCCCCCGCCCTCCTGTTAACTTGATGCTTTAGTTTCTGTCTCCTTAACAACCCACGTGGTGGGAGGGGTCTGAGCCAGGGTTGGCTGTGGAGAAACAAGGTGCAGTGTAGAGGAGGTGAGGTCTGCACCTAACAAAACTGGTCCTCTTTGGTGTGATGGGTTTCTGCTGCCTTCTGCAGTGACTGTAGTTCCAGCTGTTGTCAGATACGTTAGCACTTATCTTTGTAATTTCCCTTCCTGTGTATTTTTAGAACTTTTCTTTACCTCCTTCCACAACATTTCCCCTGGCATGGTCTGCTAGTCCTGGGATTGGATGTGTAAAACAAATAGCTTGGCTTACTTGAGGCCCTTACTCCTGTATGTAACCAAGATTGCCGCAGGCTACTGACCTATTTCCAAGAACAAGAATAAGACATACACCCTCTCCTTTCAAGTTGCTTAGCGCCCACAAGGAGAAAGCGAAATGCCTAGTTGACTGCCTTGAGTCCAACATAATTGGTGCAAAGTACATAAAAAATAAAATAGTTGGAGAAACAAACCCTTCTGTTCCTTTTCTGGCTGTAAGTCTTCATATAATTCATTTGCCTCCATTTCGAATAGGTGGCAGACTTTTTCTGCCAGATGCATTTTTTGGCTTTGCAAGCTGAATAGATGGTCTCTCCTAACTGTATTCTACCCCTGCATTGCAAAAGCAGACAGTACATAGTGTGGCTTTGCCCTAATAAAACTTTATTAAAATGTACTTTAGAATTTGTCTCACATTACGTGATAATTGATAATTAAGCTAAGACTGGGACTGTGGTGCTTAGCATATAGTAATAACCGTTTAGAAAATGTCCAGCCAGCCAGGGAGTGGAGCTTGTTGTACCCACACTAGTATTTTGAGAGGAAACTCTATTAGAACTTTGAGAAAGCATAATACTCTCAACGCAGAGCCCAGGGGTCTAGCCTAGGTCTACTGCAGATTATGTCTCATTGTCTGGAAAATCATCTCATATTTGTGTTGCTATTTATTCATCTGCAAAATAGAACAAGGATTAAAGGATGCTGTGGGAATATTTTTTTCAAAAAGTTAAAAAAATTCTATAAATGTAAATTCCTAACTTTCACTGCAAGAAAGTGTTCAGCCTAATTAGCAATGGGTGTGTGGCTTTGATGCTCCCAAGCGTCCTTTCTGCTTCCAGTCTGTGACTGTCACAGCTGGCCATGCCCGGGGCCCAGTGCTGCTCCCCAGCAGCCAGGCTAGAGCCACAGGCTGCACCCCAGCCTGGGACAGGCTGCTGCAGAGCTCTGCGGGAGATGCGACGGCAGGTCCGGATCGTGCTTTAGCTCCCAGGCGAACAGCTCCCCGTCTCAGGGTAAAGGCTGGTGTTCGTTAATGCTAAGTAGTACTGTAATTTTCACTTTGGATGTGTTAACAAGCAAGCTGTTTAATGTGCTTCTCAAGTTTACAGGGTAACTTCAAAGCCTTCACTACAGTTTGAGAAGCAGCCTTTCCTAACCTTTAGGTCACCTTTCATCAGTTATACAGTTCTTTTTTCTTCAAGGCTGAGTAGTACAGATTTATTCTTGCTCAACTTCTGATATATAATATACAACTTACACATTTAAACAAATAACCTCTTATCTGTAGCTAGTTGCTTTTCTTATGACAAATAGCCTCCCGGGACCCATGTGATCTCTACAAATACTTAATTCATGGTATCATACCACAGTGTGTGGACAGTCTACGTTTTCGTACATGGTATTGTAACTGAAATAATTTCAGTAAACTACTTCCATCTCACTTTCCAAAAGTCATATAAACTAGACCTTGTTAAAAACAGTTAAGACTTGTTAAGCTTATTTTTAAGCATCAGCTTTATTAATATGAAGCTCTGAATGCTCAAATGCCACTATTTCACAGTGCAATGCCTCATCCTCTCCTCTCCCAAACAGGCTGGATTATATCTATTTGATTTATACACTGTGACTTTTTCCTGCTGTTTTCTATCAACCTTAATTATGAAAAATGGTGCCACATTGCCCTCTTGATATTCTTCTGGAGATCAGTTAGGTCTTAAAGCCTCCAGATGCGCACAGTTCTGCACATATCTGCAGAATTAGCTCACTGAGGTCTGCTCTGCGATGTTTTTAATTGACTTACATGCTCTGTGGGAACAGAAGAATCAGGGCCCATCCCTGCAGTTGCATTCCTCTCCTCACTGGGCGTTCTCTCGGGGTCTGGACGGACGCTCCGGGTACTCACAGCGTCAGCAACTCCGGTGATACGGACGGCGTCTAATTGACAGGAAATGGCGAGGACTGAGTTCTACTCTCTAGGCACTCATTTCAGTGACAACTTAGTCTGAGATCCTGTGCTTTTGTATTTTAAAACATTCCTATTTTCTTTTTACTTTGAATACTAAGTTTTCTTAGACCTTCCTCTTAGGCATTTCATGTCAGAAAACAAGATTTTATTATTGCCCTTTCTGAAAGCCTGCTCCCTGCTATAATTTCACATTAAAAGGAGTAAAATGGCATAAATATCTTTCAAAACAACACACAAAAGGTTACCCTTCTTCCCCAGGTACTACATTGTCCACACATGTAAACATTTGTATAATTGTTTTATGAATTGAGATTAATGGAGCAAGTCTGAGCAAACTAAATGGATTAAGAAACTACACTGAAGAAACTTGCTGCAATAATAAGCCCAACAAAGGACTGTTTAGAGGTCTTCGGGCTGTGATAAACAGATAAAACAACTTTAAAAAATAATCAACTATACAGGTTAAAAGATGTGGGTGGCACACTTAATAAGAGCATCTTAGAATTTTAGACATCAGTCCTTTTATTTTACATCCCTGAAATGTAATTTAGAAGGACTTTGAGAACACTGAATGTTAGAGTAGCCCCTAAAATGAACAGAATCTAAAGTAACAAGTTATGGTTTGGGAAATAAAGGTATACAGTATTTTGACTTTTTCTCTTTTTCTCTACATTACTTGCAGTTGTTGCTAGTAAACAGAGTCATTGCTTTTAATCCTCAAGTATTCTTCTTAAATTTTTCTTTTTTTTAAAGAAGCCTATTAAAGGCCCACAAAAAGAATTAAGATATGTTACGTACTTGTACAAACTCCCCATGATAAATTAATCATTATGTTCTGCAAGCATGTGCTAATGAAAAGTCAAAGTCCCATAGAAATCTCTCCTAATCCATATTTCTTTAGTGAGTCTAAATGCTATTGTTAAACCCAAGTTTCCTTATAACCTAAGAATGTCTTGAATACCCAATAGTAAGAAAGTAAACATTTTTCTCATGATCATATATCTTGAACTACTTACTGCTTCTTTACCTTCAGTTAGTTACAGACCACCTATTTGTATGTCGTATAAGTATTTTTTATTAAAAATCTATGAAAAAAACAAAAGTGAGAACAGGAACTTCAGTGTACCTGTCACCCAACTTCCCCACCCCTCAATGCTGCCATACATATTTCATTGAGTTACTTTCTTTTTCTGGAGAATTTTAGAGCAAAACTTGGATATTATGTTATTTCACATGTTCATCTAAGAATGAAATATTTCCTTTATTCTCTAAGGTATAAAACATTTGAATGTATTAATATAGGTACATGATTATTAAGGCATTCAATTTAAACTGTTTTAGTGTCAATTATGATATAAATTGATACAAATTGATGTATATTGTCCTTCACCATTGCTTATAAAACCAAAAGAGTGAGCTAGATTTGTGCTGCTGCTAAAGCAATAGATAAAAACTGAGGAAAAAGGAAGGAAACGGGGAAGAAAGTGACAGGAGAGAAATTAAAATGTGGTTCTGTGGGAAGAAGATTTCTAAGGATGCTGGGAGTATAGAAGAAAAAGGAATAAACATGCACACTGTCAGAAATTTTACCAACTGTTGAAATTCATGAGCTCTGAGAAGTGAAAAAAATCAGTTACTTGTTCCCAATTTGAAATTAATGACCCAGGCCTGTTGTTTTTGCTGCCCTTTGATGATGAAAGAAATTTCCAAATGTGATTATTCACACTGATAATACTGGCCCAGATTCAGGTAAAAACAAACCTACTTCCACTTCAATAAAATTCCCTACTTTTACTTACCCACATGTGTGTGCAATGCTCTAGGCTTAGGCCAGAAAAAGAAAACATCATTTGAAATACAATCAGTCTGGGGACTTTATCAAGAATAAGTAGTAAGCAAATTTTAAGTGTTAAAGCCTAACCTTGTTTTCTTACCTGGCCCAGCATCCTGTCTGACATCATCCACACCAGCATTTTTACAGAGAGCCACTGAAGTGGTCTTTGTGTGTTCCGATGGACCTGCTGGTCTCTCCTTCAGCAACAGAGGAGTGCTAGACATTGCAGGGCTCACTGTTTGACCTGCAGTTTGATTTACTTTTGACCAAGGACCAGGGTCTAGAAAATTCATGTATGCTGGCGTTTTCTCAGTTTTTCTATCTGAAGTGGGAAGATCAAAGGATGCCCTTCCACTTCTGTTTACTAAATTTCCAGATGGCTTTATGTGGAATGACTGTGATTCTCCCTGCTGACCTTCACTGTACAGTTTTCCTGAAACGATGTCATTTAATGACTCTGTTCTCTCTGTATTATTTAACAATGTATGCTGTCTTTCATTAACGTTCACAAAAAGGAAGGGGTCGTGTTTTGTGGCTTCAGTTATCTGACTCACATCTGTCTTCCTCTCACTGTAAAACTGTACTTCCATGGCAGTTTTCCTAAGAGCAGTTTCCAGATCTGTGTCTGCCGAAGCCCGAGTGTCTTCACTGTTAAGGTGCAGAGGGGCAGTGGTCACACCCTTTCCTGGACACCCCAGACAGCTCTTAAATGGACTGTCCTGCATGTCCTTCCTGTCTTTCCTTACAGCTCTTCCCCTGGGATTGGAGTTGGGTGTCACCAACATAGGCATAATACCGATATGATTACCTGAATCCGGAAGCGCTTTTGAATTCTCAGCAGGAGCAGCAGGTGACATGAGGTGGTTGACTTCGTCATGGGGAAGAGTTAGTTCAGGTTTCTCGAGAGTATCATTGCAGACTTGTGGAAAACTTGAGGTTGGCTTAAAAGGCAGTATACTATACTCACTGATTTTATTTAACAGTTGTGTGTGCTCCATCTTACACTGTTTATCACTTACCCTGGCATTCCTTGAATCCTGAAAACTGTATTTCTCACACTGAACAGGATTCATCTTTGCATCTAGAGATGAACCCAGACCTGCTTTGCTTCGGTTGGTAATTCCCCTCTTGGTCCCCAGATGTGATCTGAATTGCTGTCTGAATGGTTTGTTTTCAGAAACATCTTTGTCATGGTCTCCGTTGTGAGCTGTCTCACTTACAGTCCTGTCAGGTGAGGATCTCTGATCTTTGCTCTCTAGGCGTACACATGCAGGGTGAAGGCCTGACCCTTCAGCTCCTTCCACTAAACACAGATTATTTGGTGGTTTAAATTCTGTGCATCCACTGTCTTTTTCCAAGTCCAGCCTGTCTTCTGTTTCTGTAGCAGCAGGTTTTCTGGGGTCAGTAACACTCCCAGTTTGTTGGCTGATTGTATCTTTTCCCAGACAGGGGGGTTTGCTTAAGGAGAGTCCACATTGGCCTTTATCCTGAGGTATACTTGTATCAGTTTCATTCTTAAAGCTTTTCTCAAAACGCTGTACATCTGTCACAAGAACACAGTACGATGTTATACGCTAATGCCTGATTTTGTAGAACATATGTGTATCACCTTTTTTGTAAAAACATTTAGCTTTATTAGCAAACAATTACACAAACAGGAGTTTTACCTAAATATTGAGTGCCCCATAAAACAAGCATATATTCAGATGCTAAATATTTAGCTCTACCTTAAGTTTTTATTTCATAATAGCAAAAGTATTTTGGGTTTAAAAAGAAGCAAGTTGGAATATTACAAAATAGTTTTTATTTCTGTAGTTGGTGGCCTCCTTTTGGACACAGTACCTTCCCATTAAGCATGTAGCTGATAACAGTTTATTCTAGCAGGTTACAATCTAATTTTTATTACCTAGGTCCAATAATATTCAGAAGTTAACTTTTGAGTCTAACAGCACTTTTTAAATTCAGTGCCATAAATATTTTTAAATATTGAATATTTCCAAGTTCTGGAATAGTTTGGGGCAAGACGTTAATTTTATTCATCTGTGTTCTAGCAATGGATACCAAATCTTAAGTGTAGTCAATCTCAATACAAATGTCAGGACTCAAAGAGGTTTTTAATTCCAGTCATTCTCTCTGCAACAACTCCACCAAGTGGCTGTTTCAGCCTGGGTTTGAACATCTTCACTAAGTGCCATCTTCAACAACTCTTTTTCAAGATGGAAGAGTTAGTAAATCATCTCAGTGGTTACAGAGGATCATTTCTGGATTAAGAAAAGTGCTCCATTCTGGTCATCAGAAAGCCACTGATGAACCAGAGAAATGAGGGCAGAAACCAGAATTCAGAAAGCCCAGGAATAAAAAATGAGAGGGATAGGCAACAATGTACCTTTTCCCCAAAATACCGGTTGTAAATATTGACTGTTGAAGATGAACTGGAGGAAGTGGGTTCTGCTGTTGTGTACAAGTGAGAAGGTATTTCCAGCTGTGCTACCAGGTCCCCAGCAAAGCCTGCAGTTGACATGCCTCTAAATTCTGTAAAAGGCCGAGTGTGGTGCTTTGGCAGATCTTTTGGTGAGAAAAACCCTACACAACTTAGAAAATGCCTTTCAGATTACCTTCTACAGTGACTTCTGTAGCCAGGCTTTCTTTCATCACGTCCTTTTCTCTGTATTCAGTGTAAGAACAGAAACCCTTAGTATTTTCTTCCCTGGAATTAAATTTCTGTATGATGGCCTTTCCTGAGTTTTCAGTTATTTCATGGTTTTCATTATTTATTTCTGGAACATTCTAGGGTAAATTGTGAGAGATGCTTTTAATGTAAAGATTCTTAAAAAGTACAAAATATTTAAGCAAACTTTGCTAATAAAAGTGGAATCTGTATTTCCATTCAACCATTCAGCAATCTGTTTGAAAACCAGATGACTTAAGTTCACTTTATGTACTCTGCCATAATTAAACAAAATGAACGCTGTTCTGTGTTTTCAAACCTCCACCCCATCATCATAGCACACGTTACTGATGTAACAGAACAGCCAACCCTTTCAGCAAGCGGGCAAACTGCAGTTTCAGTGGTGGGTGGGGGTAGACAGAAGTGTTTATACCAAGGGTTATTTTATGTATCTTTAAAGCAGCAGTCCGCTCCACATCCCTTCTCCCCTGTACCCTGAGCACAAGTCACATGCGGCACTGAACAAGGTTTTGGGACCCCAGATGAACAGAGTGCAGTCCAGAAACAGAGACAAAGCTCTGCTCGGGTAAGGAGAGGGACAGTCTACGTACTCTCTTCGGGAGTCAGGGACAGGCTTTTTGGAGCAGATGGAGCTGGAGAGAGCGACATGAAGTCACCGGTGATGTCCGAGGAGAATAAACTACCGATGCTTAAGAAAGCTGGCCGCCTGTCCATAGAACAAGTTATGATTTCGTGTGGCTGCAGCTTAGATGCGGGAAGAGGACAGGGAGGAATGAAGGAAGCTTGAGGTGTTCGGGGCCAAGGTCATGAAGGGCCCAATATACCATGCTAAGGAATTTCAGCCTCGCCAGGAGGACCCGGGAAGTCACTGGAGGGTTAAACACGGACTGGCTCCTACGACCCGGGCTGGAAAGGCCAGTCCTGCTGCAGTGTGAAGAAAGGACGGGTGCTCCCACCTCTGACCAGAGCCAGCCCTGTGCAGTATCTAGAACTCGGGACATCTCCTGTTCACACTACTTACTTTTCACAAGGACACACCAGGAGGGCACCACGACCGTCTGGTCAAACTCATGCCCACGATTTATTACAACAAAAAGACAAAAGCAAAACAGGCAAAGACCTGAGGTACCGGTGGGGGAACCAGTTACGAGCATCCCAGAGTCCTCGCTCAGTGAAGCCCAGAGGACACACTGCAGTGTGTCAACAGCCGGGAACTGCAGTTTACCAGGGAAGCTCATGAGACTTGCTGCCCAAGGCTGGTCACAAAGGCCCTTCCTCCACGTGGCACACACCAGACTTCAGGAAGAAAACATGTCCAGAAAAGACCCTGTCTTTGGTGCTAACACTACACACACCGAGCCGCTGCTGTCAGGAAATGGGGAGAGCCTGCCCCAAATCCACGTCTCCAGGAGGAGCCCAGGGCCAGCCTTGCAACTAGGCCATTCACCGGCCATTGTAACTATTTTCTATATTCCAACACGAGACGTTCAGAATCTCAGTAGCCTTGTTATTTAAACAGTGAATTAGTTTTTTAAAATATTCCCACCAAGATAAAGCCCATACACCTTCACTGGTGAGTTCTACCTAATGTTTAATAAAGAAATAACACCAATTCTACACAAACTTTTCCAGGAAATACAGGAGGAGGAACATATTCCAACTCAGTTTATCAGGTGGCCTGTAGTACTCCTGGTTTAAAACACAGACAAATAATATAAAGGAAAAATAAGTCAAACCTATAGATCAGGTTATCCATGTAACTCTTTAACAAGGCATTAGAAATTCAAAGCCAACTATATAGAAAAAGGATAATGCCTTATGACCACCTGGAGTTTATCCCAAGAATACAAGGTTATTTTAACATTTGAAATTCAATTAATGTAATTTGCAGGTCAATAGTAACTGGATTTTTAAAAATTTGATCATCTCAATAAATACAGAAAAAGCATCTGACAAAATTTAATACCCATTCATGATAAAAACCCAGCATGGCAGGAATAGAAGGAAAGTATCCCATCCTGATAAGAAACATAAACAAGAACCAACAGGTAATGGCACAGAACGATGAGAGATGAAAGCCTCGCCACTTAAGGTGAGAGCCAAAGCCAGCACCTTCCTCACAACTTTCACTCCCCATTGTGCTGGGGTCCTGGCTCACGCATCAATCGAGAACAAGAGAAAATGGAGACTACACTGAATGGCCATAATAATTTTTACAATGAGGCCAATGTACAAAAATCAATTTTACTTCTATATATGAGCAAGTAACAGTTCAAAAAATAGAATTAAAAAATATTGCTTACAGAAGGCTGGGGGTGGGAGAAGGCCAGTGCTAGAGGCATGCTTAGGGTGCATGAGGCCTGGACTTAATCCCCAGTACCAAGCAAAGCAAAGCGATTTATACACCAGGGTCTCTAACACGAAATACTCAGAAATAAACCTAACCAAGCATTTGCAAGACCTATACAATGAAAACTACAAGGCATTTCTGAGACATTTTTAAAACATCCCCTCCAAATGGAAACCTACATTGTGTTCATGGACTCAAAGATTAAATAATGCTAAGATATCAGTTCTTTACAAATTAATCTAGAGATTTAACACAGCACAACCAAAATCCCACAGACCTCTTTTTTTTAGAAATTGACAAAATGATTCTAAAAGTGATGAAACCATAAAGGACCCAGAAGAGCACAGAAAAATTTTACACTACATTTTAAAACTTCTTAAAAAGTTAACATTACTAAAGACAATGTGGTATTGGCTGAAATACAGACATAATCAATGGAACATAATGAGGCTAGGAATATGGTGAGCCGATTTTCCAAGAAAGCACCAAGGTGTAACAGGAGAAAGAAGAGTTTTTACAACAAATGTTGTGTCCTGAGACAAATGAAAATCCATATCCAAAAAAGATTCTTGATCCTATGGCATGCAACACACAAAAGTTAACTCAAATGTATTATATGTGTTTTCTTTCTTTTTTTTTTTTTTTTTGGTACCGGGGATTGAACTCCTCAGGACCTTGTGCTTTTGAGGCAGGTGGTGGAACCACTGAGCTAAATCCCCAGCCCAACTCAAATGTATTATAGATTACATGCTTATCCTCATTTTTTAAAGTTGAGAAGGTTAAAATATAAAATGGAGAAAAATATCAGTGATATCTAATTTAACAGTTTGTATTCCCCAACAATCTTGAATTTTACCTGAAATTTTTTGTCTTCTTCAAGCTTTTTCTGACTCCAGAATTTGTTGTGTTGTTCTTGTAACTTAATATGAGTTTCTTTCAGTGATGAAAATTCATCTTTAATCTCATTAATTTCTCTATTAAGTTCTTCAACCTAATGCAACATTTAACCAAAATGAGCAAGTATATAAGTACGTTTTATTTGAAAACATGTTTTGAGAAATAGTAAAAATATGTACAATCACAAAATAACAATGTTAAGAAATACAATTTATGAAATTGGGCTGAGCATTTAATAAATATACTTGCATACTCATAAAAAATACTATGAGGTATTTTGTGCCCAATTTACAGGCGAGGAAAGTGAGGCTCACAAAAGTTAAGTAACTTGCCCCAGATCAGGCAGAGAGAAAACAGCAGCCAAGTTTCAGATTCAGATCTAGGGGCTGCATTTCTAACTACTGCATTAAAATACCTCTTGTTACAAATGAAAATGTAAGAATTCTAGTTATGAAAGTTGTATAGAAGTTATGCCTTCCTTTTCTGTTGCTGTGAACCGGATACACAGATTGTAACTCCGTGTGGTGGAAAGTACTGAGCACTCAGTGGTACGGCAGAAACTGACACTAGCCTGACATTTGGGTCTACATATTGGACTTTCACTGCCTATGAAATTTCAGGGTTCTTTTCTTGGGGGTTACTCCTGCACAGAGACCTTCAACATGAGACAAGCTGCTCTGAGGAGAAAACTACCCTTTAATCATGGAGGAATATGATTTTCTTTTAGACGTTTCAAACTAATAAACCCTACCTATGCGTGTTATGTGCCCCCAGGCAGGTGTGAACCCCTATCTGTAGCCCATGTCCCGAGGTACACACTTCCTCTGCTCAGCTCCCTCTCCCTGTGTTCTCTACCCCATCCTCTCTCCTCTCCCCGCAGTCTCGGCTTTATTTTCTCTTCTTTTCGGCCAGTTCACAATCTCTGAATCACACCAGCGTCTTCTCCTCACACACCAATATCCTTTACTCACATTCCTCCTCCTCCTCCTCCTGAGCCCGTTTCTCTGGCTCTTAGACAAGCCTTCCATGACTGCACGACACTCTGGCCGTGCCTGCAGTGCTGTGCCCTTCCTGTCCTTAACTCTCACCTGCAGATCAGTGCGGTGGCTTCTCCAGGCCGCCCACCGCTGGGCAGCTCTGCGGCCCTTGACTCTGCAGATCAGTCGCCTGCCCCCGGCTCCCCTGTTTATCCGCCCGAATCTCCAGCTCTTACCAGGATCCTCCTGCTCCTGCCCCCAGGAGCCCAGGCGCACACCCCTCGCGGTGCCGCCAGTGCCCAGGCGTCGGCCCTCTTCGGCCTTCAAGTCCTCCGCTCCCCTAGAGATGATCCCATTTCTTTAACTTCAAATTTCACCTTTATGCTAATAAATCTTAAAACCATATCTCCTCCCTAATCTCTCTCCTAAGATGAGATTCACAGTTCCAGATGCACAGTATGCATTTCAAGCTAGACGTCCTGCAGGAATCCTAAATTCAGCAGTTTTCAAATTAAACTAATAATCTGCATCCATCAAATCTGCTCCTGCTCTTACATTCTTCATGTCAGTTAACGACACTCTCCCCCTCCGAGTTACACCACTCTCAGTCCTACCGGACTGCCCTGCCCTTCCAACACCCACTGCACAGAAGCTGTCACCAGCCCTGCTGGTCCTACTCCCAAATGCTTCTTGCATCTGCCCCTCTTCCCCTGCCCCCCTCTCCTGCTCTCATCACACCCTCACAGGCGCGTGGCTAGACTCCGACAGCATTCTCACGGTCTCTTTCCATAAACCCATCCTCCACAGTCGCCAAAGTTGTTTTTTAAAAAACACAGAACTACCTGCCTTCCTTCACTGCTTTTCAATTCTCAGTGCCTTCTCAGCACCTACAAAATGCAACTCTCTTAGTAGAAGACCGTTCAATCTCAGTCTGTTTTCCAGCACCACATTCTACATGGTCTATTTTTTATTGAGAGCAGACCAGTCATCACCTTGAAAATGTAGTTTTGTGCCTCCACAACATATCCCATTAAAAAACAAACCAAAAACAAACCAATCCAAAAGAACCAGAATGCCAGCAGGATGAAATGGGAAGGGAGTGGCTGCCTTTGGTCCTTCCAGAACAAATTTGTGTCATCTTTTGTTCTAAAACTCTGACCTAGCTAAATGGCATTACTTTGTACTTTCATAGTACTTTGTTAGTAATATTAAAAAGCATCCCACACTGTTGTGGTTAATTCTGTACTTATCTGTCCCTTGAGAGTGTGAACTCTTTGGATAACTTTGGATTTTAGGCTTCTTTGAAAATCCAGTGCCTAGGCTAGTGCCTGATACACCATATGCTCAATTAGTGTTAAAAAGTAAATTTCTTTTGTGACTTCCTTTTCCCCAATTTCTGAACATCATTTATAGTTTTTTTATTTGTATGCATATAATGTATACCCTATGATTATATAACTAATCAAAATTAAAAGGTGCACACAACTTTCTAAGAAACTCAATGGATTTTAAGTATATTGTCTGATAATACACACTTTATTAGCATAGTATTTTCTTGAATGACCTAACATAGACAGCAGTTATATGATTCCAGCTTATTTTTGCCAGTATCTTTTTTATTTTTAAACCCATTTTGATCCAGTCCCAATAGTTATACTATTACTGTATTGCTCTTCACTCAAAAATGATAAAAAAAAAAAAAAGAGACAGAAACAGAACTAAAGGGTACATTGATCTTATCTCTCATCCAACAAAAGTTTTACAGAACCAAAGCAGCTTTTTCTTACTGAACCATCTTCTGTGTAGCACTGAAACATTATGAAAGTGAAATGATTATAGATTTACACAGATGTAGAAATTATAGCCTCACCACCTGCAAAACTGCCCATGTTCTTAATTCAGTCGAGTTGTCTTCTTAGGAGAAGGCTGTTGTTATAGCCTCCACAGAGAAAATGAGTGCCTGATTTTTTTGCTCAGCTGCTCTTGTATGCATGTGTGGCTGTCTGGCCTGTTAAATTGGTCTCCTTTTCCCTCCACAGTCCTGACCCCGAAGAGAGCCATTCCCGTGGCCTTAAGCACTGGGGATGAGAAGGAAGGACTGGGATGCAGTGTCAGTTACCTGACCTCACTTCATCTGTTGCTTAATGATAAATTTTACCATAGCGATTAGGCAGCGTATTTTAGCATTCTAATATAACTAAATACAAAATATTTTTCTTATACTTGAGTGAAGTTTATCAAGATCATAAATGAAAACTTTTTCTCTCTGATCTGTAAATAACATTTAGCTACATATCAGTGTAATGACATATCATGAGGTATAATTAATAATAGTCTAAAACATGATCATATATTTCTACACTACCTCTTCATAAGTAGTGACTTTCTATTGTTGAGCTTTTTTGGAGTGCAATGAAACTGATACTGAATAATCATTTCGTAGTCTACAAATCTTTAAAGTGAACCTTTGTGTTTCACAATTCAAGTTGACATCATTCTACAGCATTATTTTATTTACATCACTGAAATTAAAATCCAATATAAAATGGTTTAAGGAAATAGCTATGTTTACAACATATCAACTCATGACAATACAATAGAACCCTGCCTCTGCATACATGTTCTAAACATGACTCTCACACAACCCAACAAGGCTGCTGAGGGAAGCAACACTGACTGGCCAACACCGGGACACATGTATCCTTTATGTCAGGCATTCACTAAAATACAGTTGCAACAGTTTTGATGAAAAAGCAAATTACTCTTTCTTTGCCACATATGGAAGTGATCCAACATATATTCATATATGCATATATAAATACACAAACATGTATATGTATGACCTCCCAAGCATGAAAACATTAAAAATTTTTATTAAATTTAGCTTTTAAAAAGCACTTACTTTTTAGAAATACAAGTGCAAGAACAAAATCTGCCTGACTTTATTTTTGTATTATTTCTGCAATATTTTCTTAGCATTTAATAGTTATTTTAAATGTCTACAGCTACTTAAAGCATTTTAATACTTTACAGTTTAATAAACCTATATGTCTCTTCCAAGTTCCTACTGCTTTCTCATGCTCATTTTGAAGATTAAGGAACTTTTCTTTATTTTCTCTTACCTTCTTCCTTTGCAGCTCATTATCTCTTTCAAGGGTCTGCAATAAAATTAATTATCCAAAAAATAATCAATACCACATTAATGAATTTTGATGTGTTTTATGTTGCTTGGACCTTTGCTTTGAACATGCTGAAAGTGCCATACAGATCAGTGATAATGTGCTATCTCAACAATAATTTTCATAAATTAACAGAAAGGTGCTTACAGTTTAGCTAACAGGGAATAGGGGGAGGTTATGATAAAGAAATGGCTATAAAAGGGTATAAAAACATTGCCATTATTCAGTTTCACTGCATAAGTTTTAATGTACTGAAAAAGTAATATAAAGCATAGCACTGAAAAGTATGAAATGTAGCATAATCCAGCCTAACCCTACTAAAAAAATTTAACTACCACAAAACATTTTTAATATCTATTTATTTTTAAAATGAACTAGTTAGAAAACTCATACATATAATTTCCATATCAAATTAACAGTTTTTAACATAATGTAAAGATTTACCATATTAACTTAATTACTTCATCGAATTAATGTAACCAAGTCACTAGTGCACTACTGCCCCCCAACAAAATCTTTAAGAAGGGAAAAATACTACCAAGTGTTTCATAAGACTAAGGATTTAGAGCTATTAAATCTATGTCTCCAATATTATTGGGTTTCTTCAATCTTGGTTTATAATCCAAGGAATCATCTGTAAAAAAGTAATAGTAATGACTCTATTTCTCTACATCTCTTGTATGTGTGGCCTTTTTCCTTCAAGTACTGGAGTGAACCCAGGACCTTCACAATGAACTACATCCCCAGGTCTTCTTTGTTTCCAAGACAGGGTCTCCTTGTTAAGTTGCCTGGACTGGGCTCAAAGCTGTGACCCTCCTGCCTCAGCCTCCCAGGGTGTGCAGATTATAGGCGTCCACCACCACTCCCAGCTCATCTGGTGTTTTTAAATTCATCTGCTTATCATCGCTAAAGCTATAAACAGTCAGAGTAAAAATTTCAAGCCACACAAAAGGATATAAAATGAAAAGGCAGGGCCAGGGATTTAGCTCAGTGGCACTGCACCTGAGTTCGATCCCTGGAACCAAAAGAAAAAAAAAGAAAAGAAAAGGCAAAATTATCCTGGATCACTTCTCCCCAAAAGGAATCACTTTCACAGTTTCTTGTGTAATTATAGAAATTACCTGTAAGCATACAGGGATATAAAAGATATGTTTTTAAATTCAGATGAGACACATCTCATCATTCTGTAAACTAATTTTTAAAATAAAATATCTTGCTTAGGTTCTGAATTATATACATGTGTGTGTCCATCTCATTTTAAAGCCTTCATAATATTCTATTTAAGGAATTCTCAATCATATCTAGAATATCAATATGCAAATACACGGTTATGCAAAATTATGGCAACTTACCTAAAAAGAAACATTTTACAACCTGTAGCATGGAGCTCCTCTACCCCATGGGAGCTGTGCCGTCTGGGGAGCACCCCAACGAAGCCCTGTTCTGACTGCCTCCTTAGGGTGATGGAAGTGTTTTTAAACAAGACATCACCCCTTAATTTACAGTTACATAGAATTCTAGGATGATTTCTAAGTGCTCACAGTGGTGTATAATTAATAGATGCTTAATACTTTTAACTAGAGTATCTATATATTGACAACATAATGTGTTTTATAAGACAGACAAAGCAAAGTTTAGGGAAGACAGGGAGAACATACCAACATACCACAGGCCCTATTCTAGTCATGCTTTTTGTAGGGGGGAGATGGGGTCTTCTATGTAGCCCAGGCTGACCATGAGTTCATGGCAATCCTCCTGCCTCAGCCTCCCACATGCTGTGATTACAGATATGTGCCACCACCCCTGGCTACTCTAGTACTATAATACTAGATGACCAAGAGCATCAAGCTCTTAAAACATTGTACTAGATAGGCCAATCACTTCCTCTCCTGACCTAAACCCTGTCTAAAAGAAACTGCTTTCTTCAAGAATTCTGTTTCAATTTTTTTGGAAACTTCCCAACTTTCGTTCTTAATTGGATCCATTTCTCTCAGTCTTCTTCACAAGTCAGACTATCTATGAGGGTTGCATCCTCTCTTCTGTCACGTGTCTCCTGTTCCTAGATTCTACAGTTTCCCTTCTTGGCTTACTCCCCTTTCCTGGTAGTGGAACTTCTGTTCCACCTCCATGGGCAGATTCTAGTTTCTCCTTTCCAGTGTTGCCACTGAGAAGTCTGAACACGATGTGCTATTGTCCCATTCCTAATTCTTTGTACAAGACCTGCTTCTTTCTGCAGAGTTTTAAAATCATCTCTATAAGGTGTAGCACAGTTTCATAACAAAATATGTCAGTATTGGACAAGAGAAACACAGGCCTGGAGAAGCTTTTTTGTTCTTTCTCTGCTCATTCCTTGTCACTCTGGTTCCTCTGTTCTGCCTTGGAAGCGCACCAGACCCGCTGGACTGACCCCCTTGTTTTCTCTTGTCTTCTGCCTGCTTGTCTTTTGGCTCTGCTTTCTAGAAAACTACCCCAACGTTATCTCCCAAACTTTCCACTTCACTGTTCATGGCTGCTAATACAGTTATTTTAAGGGCTGTCTCTTACTGTATTACAAAGTCCTAATTCTTGCTTTGTGGATTAACAATACTTCTTTTAAGAATATTTTCTTATTTCTACATGGGTTTTTCATTACTTCGTGTCTGGTCTGTTTTCATACTGGGAGCTTTCTTCAAATGTCTGGTTGTCCTTAGCTACCCATCCATATCTAAGAATGCAGTGTTAAGGAGTTGGTTAGGAGTTCAGTCTGAGGGTGGGTCTCACGTGGGTTCTGGCTGAACGACTACTTTATTTGGGGCTTAACTGCAGCAGCTATCAACTTTTCTCTTGAGCAGGTTCGTTTTCCCAGAAAGGAATCTTGCATTTTCCTCCCTAGGAGTTAGGCTACCACCTTCTAAATAGGGAAGGTCTCCCCATCCGGTATTAGACTCTGCTCTATTTTCAATATAATACTCCCAATAGTGTGTTGGTGAACTGGATCTTAAAAAAAAGAAATTTTTTTTTTTTTGGTACCAGGGATTGAACTCAGGTCCTTGCGCTTGCAAGGTAGGCAGCGGAACCACTGAGCTAAATCCCCACCCAAAAAAAATTATTTTAAAAGCCCAATTTTAGTGTTTATCATTTTCCTTCATGTTAAATATTCCCCTCAGGTCAATTTCAGGCCCACACTGTGTCACAGCCAAGGCACAGGCTTCCTGGCTCTCCAGCAGCCAGCTCTCATGGCTGCACGCTGTCTCAAGAAATCCCCCAGACCCTGGGTGCCTCCCAACCTCCTGACTCTCAAACTCCCCAGGTAAACCTCCCTCCACCTTCTGCCAAGTAGGAGAGGCAGGGCCTATTGGTGCAGGGCAGGGAAGACCACCGGGATTGCAATGGCCTCTCAGACAGACTTTCCAGCCTGGGGTTTCAGTTGCAAACCCTCCTAGAGGTGCATGGTAGCCATTCCTGACCCTCTGCTGGTTATATCAGTTTTGTTGTGTCATGTCGTGCTGTGCTGTGCTAGGGATTGAACCTAGGCTCTTACGAATATTGGGCAAATGTTGTATCACTGAGCCACATTCCTAGCTCTCACTTCTGCATGTGTGAGTCATGTTTCCATTTTCTTTTAAGTGCAAAACAAATTATCAATTGTCCATCTGGTTCCCACTTTTAAAACTGTATTTTTATTCTTTCTCTCCCCTTTCCTTGTCACTGTGGACTTATTGTCACAATGGACTTAATGTCATTTAATTGCACTTTCAGAAGAAGGTAGAGGTGGATGTGGATCAATTCAGTATGTTTAACCAGAGCACCGACCAGACCCTATCTACACTTGGGAAGAGTTCATCATTCATTCCTTAATATGCTCCCACTGTGTGCAAGACACTATTTTATTTTCTTACCCTACATGAGCGAAAATGTTGCTGTCCTCATAGAGATTATATTGTACCAGTAAATTAGTTGGTACTATTTGCAATTGAATCAATAAAGCTGAAATCCATTGTGAAAAAAGGGATATTGTGGAAGGTCAAAATAAAACCATCTGCTTATGTTTCAATCTACAAAAAACTGAGTAAACCATCCTGTATTAAGATTATAACTATAGGGATAGACTAAGTGAATTTTTATTCTTAATACTATGACTATAGGAAGACGACTATGCTTATAACTATGTTTAAATCACGGTAGAAAATATTTTCTATCATGAGAATTTAGGTCTGCATCCTCTAAAATTTACTACTGAAAAAGTAAGATGACAGTGTGACTGCAGAGCAATGAAGCAACAGCTGGCCATTACCAGGAGTAATGACCCCTTTTAGTACAGGTGGGATTAGAATGCTTCTCAAGGAAGCACTGTCCTACCCGTGCAGCCTAATCCTCAGCAACAGTCCAGCACTCGTATTTCGTTTGCTATATATCAGGGGCTCTCAGACACCAGGCTGCACACAAGTATTGATCCATGACAAGACTTCCACTAGTCCATGGCAAAAAAAATGTCAATATAAGGTCAACAAATGACTTTTCTTATAAAGAACTGTCTTTTATCCTGAGATTATATCCTTAATATATTTTTGATGTCCTCTTTTATAAAATGATAGTCATGATAGATGGTATTTAATGTCCTTACCCAAATAAGAAGCTGACAGTCCTATTTTTGATGATGCCTTGAAGTGTTACTGCATGAAATCTAGCTTCTGTATGTACTATCAAAGGATGGGTAATAAAGTGATAATTAAAGAGAAAGGCATTTGAAGTGTATAAGATTTTTGGTAGTCATGGTTAAAAAGAACCTAGAACCATATTTATAGACACTGTTAACTCAAAGAAAAACATGACTGTGTATTTATGGCTATATTAGGCTCTGTAAAATTCAATACATAAGCCCTGGACTTAGAGCTCATGAAGAGGTAATTTAAAAGTTGTGGTCTTAGTATGGTGGGCCTAACCAAATTGACAGCGCTGGGGGCTGTAGCTTTCATGGGAAATGCTCAGCTTTGTCCTGTCTCCCCTGCTACCAAGAACCCCTCTGAGAAGCCAAAGTATCTTCCATTGGCCACTCTACTGCACCTGCCCCAGGTCCTTCTGAGTGGGCCTTCCCAGACCCAGGCCCTGTGGCACCTGTGGCAGTTCCTGCCCCTCCACTAGTCTCTGTGTTTCTTCATGTGGATCCCAGCACTACCGAGGTTCTGTCTTGTGCACCCTTCCAGGGCCGTTTGGTGCTGGAACAAGCGTGAGGCCCTTCAAGCCTCACTCCTTAACATTCCTCCCTGACATTTCTAGACCAGTACTTGGCATCATCTGCCTGTTTTTCATAAGCCTCCAAACCTAAAGAAACATACGCCAAGCTCCTCCACATGAACTTCCCACGTTTGCTCTACTGGCATCAACAGAGTAGACCTTCTGTTTACTACAGCATCTCATGCAACCATCCAAGGGACAGGCAGCCACCTCCACCTCCCATGCCTCAGTCTTACGAGGCATTTTCCTGTAGACTCAGCTTCATCCCCCTCTGCTAGCTTCCCTTTCTTAACCCTGCACTCCAAAAAAATTGGTGATGTCCTGTCTTCCCCTCCCCAGTCACTTTTTATGTATACTGGTGAGAGGATATGGGGTCACTGCAGTAACAATGGCAGTTCTATTACACTCTCGGGAAGACAGAGCTGCCCCCAAACTTCTAAGAGCTGGCTGACTACTCTTTAAAATATGACTGACATTTTCACCTTCTATTTTAGTTTTAGACCTTGGAGACAATCCCAAGACAAAAATCTCCATTCATTCTGTCATAAAATAAAGTCAGATGCTTGATAAAATTTAATATTTAACTAGATACTTAGATGTTAAAAAACTACATTCATTACTCAGGACACTGATACTAAAAGTTGATGCAAGAGTCCATTACCTTACCCTGAAGTTCAAAGGGCCTTGATAAAACTGGACGGATAAACGCACTTACTCAGGGAAGCTGATTAGACAGAACTGTAATAAAATAATATATAAAAAACCTGATTTTTTTCTTTCAGTGCTTTCAGTTCTGCATCCATTTCATTATTAGCTTGAGTTTGTTGTTGAAGTAACTGCTGCATATGTTGAAAAGAAGTGAAGATATCCTTCCAAAATATATAGACAGAATGTATCAATTTTAACAATGTTAGTAGGATGTAGGATAGCAGGATGTTTCTAAATTCATTCTTCATATATGTTTTCTAGTTTCTCAACCCATTATCTTTATAGTTTAATTTCAATAATTTATATTAAACTAATGGCACATTTTATAGTTTAATATCTAAAATAATCTCCACTACATGATTTCCTACAAATAATATTCCCAACAGTCACCTAAATGTTAACTGGTTTTTAAAATTCTAAGATTCAGAGACATTTAAAAATGTGAAGAATTCAAAACTAAAATAAACTTTTGCTGGCTTGCTACCCACCAGATTTCAAATATATTTCTACTAAAATGTTATGTGGGTTATAATATTATAAATGTTATACGGATAAGATATCATGAAACAAATGGAGGAAAAGCAGAAGAGAAAGAAAAATAGGAGTTCTCTTTCATACACTTTTAAAAAGACATGACAATTATAAACATCAAACAGATTAAAATAAGAAAATAATAATAATTTAAAAAGCATTCCTGGGGCCACCATTTAGCTCAGTGGTGCCACTGCCTGACTCCCAAGTGCAAGGTCCCGAGCTCGATCCCCAGTACAATAAAAAAAAAAGCATTCCCAAAATATAAATACACTTCAATAATTAATCTTTAATGATACCACAGGTCTAAACAAAGGAAAAAATGGATTTTTTATTTCATTTAAAAAAAGAAAGTATATAACTGGCTAGTTAAAAAATATGTCTAGTTAACCTATGTCTATTCAATATCCATTACTTACTACATGCCACATGTTGATGTAGGTAGGCATGGATTCCATTTGTTATTTAACTTATTCATTTCCCACACTGTAGCTGATTTCTAAAAATATTTACTGGCTTTCAAAGTATCTGATGATTACTTACCTGTTTCTCTTCTTGAATATGGATAATCTCTTCATTAATCTTCTTATTTAATTCCAATTCCTTAAAAATTTGAATAATTTGAAATCTATGATATAAAATTTACCAAATTCTACAATTCAATGCTCAACAAGTTTGAGTGCCATGACTTATTATTATTCCACAGTAACCACATTTATTTGTGGTTGTAACAGTGGCTACAGTGAACTGAAGAAGGTATAGGACCCAATAGAGGTTTACAACTATGAATTTCCCATTGCTAATGGCAAAAATTACCTAACTATTTTGTTGGGTTTTTTTGGTACTGGGGATTGAACTCGGGATCTTGTGCTTGAGAGGCAGGTGGCGGCACCACTGAGCTAAATCCCCGGCCCAAAAATTACCTAATTGTTAAAAACAGATTCATAATACTTTAGCTTTTTTAGGACATATATTATGTGGTAATATGTACTGCTATGAATATTACATATACTATGTATATTAACTATATATTACACAACATATAACTATATATATTAGCAACTACATTCATTAGTAACTAATGTATATTTACTATGATATTAAATTAACATTTTAACTGTGTAAACTAAGTATATATCTACAAAGAAGGAACATTTTGTGTTATAATCCTGAAATTCCTATAAATTACTTAAAAATATTAATTTTATAAATCTGAATGCATTTAAGGAAATACCATGCTGAGTTTTTCTTGAAGTTCTTCCAATTTTTGTTCTTTAATTGTTAGATTGATATTTTCTTCTTTCATCTTATACTGACATATGACCTTGGACTTAATCAAGTCTGAAGCTGCTTTTTTTAATTCCTTAACATGAAAAACATAAACACAAGATTTGTTGTAAATATTTCATAAAAGCAAGGGACTCTGCTGACAGTTTCAAAGTCCATTTTTCTTTTATTTTGAGACACGGTCTCTCAATGTAATCCAGGCTGGCCTTCAAATCACCTTGTAGCCCAGACTGGCCTTGAACTCATGTAGATCCTGCCTCAGTCTCCAGAGTGCTGGGATTACAGGCATGCACCACCATGACCAGCTCAAAGTCCATCTTTAAACATACATGCACACACATGCACACACACACACAGACAAGGCCATCACATGTGGGTAGAATTCATGACCTTGGAACTTAGTAAGAATATACTAGCTAATAAACCAACAAACCAGATATAGGATGTTTTCATTTATTACTTATTCATTAAACATATGATATAAAAAGATAATAATAAGGCATTGTAAATTCCCAACTTCACTATCTAATAAGAAAAATATTACATAATTAAAATATGTGATGAGTGCTGTATCGCAGGAATATATAAGAAGCATAGGAAAGAAAGAGTTTGGATGCAAGCATCAAGAATTCCTTACATGAAAATGTGGTATCTGAACTGAGCCTTTAAAGATACATTTGCAAAGAGGACAATAAAGCAACAGACATTCCAGGCAAAAATGTTCTACATGCATAAAGGAATAGAAACATGAGAATATAGTATTTTTCAGGGAAACAGAAATAATATATTGCTGGTACTAACATGTTATCACAGGAAAAGGAAGAAAATATTGGCAGCTGTGATTAGAAATATCTGGGAGGATTCAAATATTGAAAGGGATATGTATGTTGTGGTTGTTGGGAAAGTTTCAACATGGATTAGCTCTGGAATCTGCCCTGGAGATGGGTGAAGCACACTCCTGGGTGTGTCTGGGTGGGACATGGAGGTATGGCCTTGGGATCTATGTCTTGTCCCTCACCACTTCCTCCTTGGCTCTGTTCCCTTGCTCTGCTTCCCAGGTACCATGGACCAAGTAGTTTTATTCTACCATGCCCTCCCACCATGAGGTTCCTGCTGTGGAGACAGCCAACCCTGGACTAAAAACCTCTGAAACTGTGAGCCAAATAAGTTTTTGGTATTGGGTATTGTATCCCAGTGACAAAAACTAGTGCAGAAAATTGGTACCTGAGAAGGGAGATCATTGCCATGACTGGACCTGACCACTTAGTTTAGAAGCCTTTGGAACTAATCTGCTTGAGGGGTTTGGAAAGATTTGGAGATGCAGACTAGAGAAGCCAGAGAATGCTGAAGCAGAGCCTGGTGAAGGTTCTGATTGGAGCTCAGAAAACTAGATGCTTACAGGAATGCAGACACTAAAGGTCAGGCTCAGTAGAAGGTAAAACAGGGACTCTACTGGCAGTTGGACTAGAAGCCATGTATCTAACACTAGCAGAAAATTTATCTGTATTTTCTTCATGTCCTGAGACTTTGCAGGAGACTTGATGTTAAAGGGAGTGGATTAATTAATCTGGCAGAGAAAACAGTATGACAGCCCAACATTGAGGTTATGGCATGGGTTCTGCTGGCTTCTTTTAGCCAGATTTATAGTGACACCCCGGAGCAAAAGGTAGACCAGAAAAAAATTTGAAAGACTTAAATTTTGGCCCAGAAAGAACCACAGGTGAAGTTGGGACCCAAAGAGATGTGGTTGCTGGAAAAATTAGCACCATCAAAACAAAAATCAAGTGTTTTGTTCTGGGACAAGAAGAAAGATGCCTTAAGGGCATCTTAGGAATCGGCAAGACCCCACCTATTGCAGGCTCAAGGGTGCAAAAGTGTAAACCTTTCACTTGAGAAAAGAGGGCTTGTGGCCTTTGTTCAAGCTCCTAAGGAATTAGTTACACAGGATTCATTTCACCATGCTGTCATTCAAATACTCAGGCTGCTGCAGCCAAGGTCCAAAGGGTCCTGGCTACTGCTCAAGCTAGTAGCAGACTTTGACATTATCCATATGATGTTAGTTTTATCAGCATGCAGAAGGCAAGAATTGTAGGTTCAGGAGGCTTCTATATTTCATAGGAAAATCTGAAAAGCCAAGCAAGGAGCTCCTGTGAGGGCTGTGAGTGAGAATGAAGCTGAAGGTACAGTGGAGACCCCAGGAAGTCAGAGATGCCAGGAATGTAAAACACTGGCCAAGGAAAGCTGTAGGCTGTGAAAGGAGCCAGCCTGAGAGAGGCTGGGTGGGTAGCAACCAGCAAGAAAGACCATAGGAATGAGGTATCCAAATGCTTTAGAACTTATGTTTTACCATCATGTACTTCAGATCCCAGATATGGAGCTATAGGACTTAATGTTTGTCTTGCTGAGTTTTTGGCCTTGCCTTGGTCCTTCTTTTCTATTCCCTTCTTCCTCCCTTTTGGCAAGAGAATGTTTACCTTGTACTACTGTACCTGAGGACTAGGTACAGTGGTACATTGGTTCACAAACTTCATCCCGTGATTCTGGGGGAAGATGGCTGTGTTTGGGCTCATGTGAGGAAGATGGCCACAGTCATGTTTATCACCTGGTGTGGAGTTTGCAGCAAATGGAGGCAAAATTTTGCTGAACACTTCTATTTGCTAACTGAATTGTTCGTGAACAGATGCATTTGTTAACTGAGGTATTACTTTAACTTTTATTTTATTTTTACAGATATTAACAGCTAACAGTTTTCCTTGAGTCTCAAAAGAGACTTTCACTTTGACTTTTGAAAAATACTGGAACTGCTGGAACTTTGGGGAAGGGACTATTGTTTCTGGTTATATACAGCAGAGCTGTGTTATGTTAGGTGGAATTACAAGGTGGTTATTATTTTTATTTGGAGATTAAGCATGGTTTAAGAAGATATGTTTGGGTTACAAATTGACAAGGGGTAGGATGTGTCAATGTAGACTGGCTTTGGGACCTGTCCCAGGGGTTGGTGGGACACACTTGGGTGTGTCTGGCTGGGTCATGGAGGTGTGATGTTGGGGTCTGTGTCCGGTCCTTCACCCCTTCCTCTCTGGGCCTTTCCCTGTTCTTCTTCCCACCATGAACTAAGCGGCTCTGCTCCACCATATCCTTCTCCATAATGTTCATGCTTTGAAGCCTGATGACCCTGAACTTTCTGAGAGTGTAAGCCAAATTAAATCTCTCCTCCTTTAACCACTTGCCAGTCCAATTATTTAAATATGGGATGACCAAAAACTGCATATTTTTTCATTAATTTTTATAATATAACAGGAAATATAAAAATGAGTTTTATCAAATTTATTCAATAATTTTTGTTTATGGTGTATCTTAAAACATTCAATACATAACACAACATTACAGTAGTATCTAGTCTCTTTTTGAATTCTTTTTTGCATTATTGTCTTTCTTTGAACAACACAAGTTGGCCTTTCTTTTCTTCTATGGGTGGTATAATTTCAATAAAATGTCTACCCAGAGAAACTGAAAGTGTAACCAAGGACTAAAAGGTATAATAGATAATGTGAAACAGGAAGAAAAGGGGCAAAGGGGAAGGGGAAGTGGGAGGGGTAGGGGAAAGGAAAGAAGGGAATGGAATTAATATGAGAAAATGAAAAAATGGAAACAAAGTCTTTGTAAATAGGGAGGGATGGAGGGGTTGAAGGGCGGGCAGGGGAATGGGGAAAAAATAAGAACCAAGAGAGATTATGTAAAGGTGCAAATTTCCAATGATGAATGTCATTATACTGTTTACCTAAAATGTACCAATAAAATTCATTTAAAAAAATAAAAACAAAATGTCTAACCAATAAAAGTAATGGTGAAGATGTCAGTGATGGACATTCTGGTTGGTGTTTTGCTGTCCTGTATTTTTCAATTATTTGGTCTACTGCAAGTGTCTTTTTGAAGCCCCCTGTTTTGAATAAATGAACAAGTTCTATACCATTTGGTCCAGAAGGTACATAAATATTTTATACTAATATTTTTAATTATACTAATAATTGCTTTTTGATTACAAGATAGCTTGTTAGATGTTAGTCAACTCTGTCAACACCACCCAAAGAATTATTATGATCACTGACCACTATTGGAATTTTTTAGTTTTATTTCTTCTTTCCAGTTCTATCATTTCTGTATTATGAACAGTTGACAATAAGGAGTCGTCTTTTTGTCTTTCCATTTTATAACACAGACTTTTCCTCTCTGATATGCTAACACTTCTCCCCTTTTCAGTTTTTTCTTTTGCAGATCTTTTGCCACTTCCTTCCTATTCAGTCTCAGTGTCCCAAAAACATCTGTTTTGTATTGTAAAAGAATATCACTGAGTTCTGGAGAAGCATAAAAGGTATACCTAATGTACTTACCATAAGAGTTTTTATAGATTGTAGCACAAAATTATAGGTTACTTTTCAAAAATAAACAGGAATTAGTAAAGGAAATAACCAGAACTTATTATTAGGTTCCACTAGAAACAAATCTCAAGGCTAATACAACATTCTAAATAAAAAGTATGCAAAAATAGTTGATATAAAACAAACAGCCATGCAACTGTATCTCATGCAAACAAGAATCTGAGCAGTGCTCAGGACAATCTGTACATAAACGAATGCACTGCCCGAGCGAAGCTCAGGTTGGACTGCTAAGTGGCTAAATTGCGGGTGTCACGTATACATCCCAGCAATGCAAAGCTAACTAACACACATGCAAAGCTAAAGAGTTTAAACTTTCTCCCAGAGACAGTGGGGAACTAACTACTGCACAATTTACTAGAGTAACTTAACAAAATGTGCATTTTAGAAAAATAACTGGCAACTGCAGGTTAGCAGATATTAATCAAACACATTAAAATCTTAACATATCAACTTCTGAATTAGTGTGCTACTGATTAAACTGTTGTTCTGTGTATATGGATGCTATTAAGTGCTAAGGGATCTGATTTTTTATAGTTCTGTCTATACAGCATCTGAACTCCCTTTGTATTTTGGAAGAACTCTACTTAGAAGAGCTCACTGTATACCACAGGAGCCAAAGTGCTAAGAATTGCTTTGT